TTGGCTAGGAAAAAATTCTATAAAAGATCTTTTCTTCCAATGGCAGTGATTATCTTAAATCGTACACTGTTTTAATTGAAACAATAGAACGATTGTTAATATTTTTTACATTTTTCTATAAAATACTATAACTATATACAGTATATATATATATATATATATATATATATATATATTTTTTTTTTTTTTTTTTTTTGTGCTGTTGATGTGTTACAGTGTCAAAGAAAAATTTCCGCTCTGTGAAAACAGACTGGACAATAAAGTTCAATCAATCATGCAAGTGTGTCCCAATGCATCCTGCAGTACTACAAACCACCTCTACAAGTGCCCTACAATGAAACAGCCAATTAGGTAATATAAACAGAGCCCCTTCCTCTGGAATCATTGGGTGCTTCTCAATATCCCTCCTCGTCTCCTCGCTCCTCCGTCCTCCCTCCTATGACCCGGAAACCGATCGAGCTCAGCCATCTTGAAGGACATCTCAATTCTCTAATTGCACCGTGAGGAGTCGAGGATCGAGGAGATAGGAGGCTTCCTGAGGAGTCATAAGCAAGGATACACAGGTGCATCCTACGCGGAACTGTTATACTGACTAAACGTGACGCACGTGTCAATTCTCCTCCCCTTCACATCGGTCACAATCATTTTAATTTATACTTTACCTTTGCAGTTTATATAAACCACACATCTCAGATATTTCAACAGTATAGTCTTTATTATTATTTTATTATGAATTACAAACTTCAACAACATAAGGCAGATCCTTTTAGCGCTGCTGATGACACTGTGGAGTGACGCTCGAGTGATCAAGAATTCCAATGGATATAAAAAAGCTTTTATTCGATTCCTCTGTCCTCCTTTCCTTTCCTCGCTTCCTTCCCTCACGTCCTACAGGGGGTGGAGCTGAGACGCAAGGAAAGGAAGCAAGGAAAGGAAACGAGGATGCACAAATAAGAAATGAGAAGCACCCATTGGGTGCTTTTCAATTCTTGTTTGTGTATGCTCGTTTCCTTTCCTCGCTTCTCAACTCCACCCCCTGTAGGATGTGAGAGAAGGCTGCAAGGAAAGAAAAGGAGGACAGAGGAATCAAATTAAAGCTTTTTTATACATTAGAATAATTGATCACTCGCTCGTCACTTCACAGCGTCATCAGCAGCGCTCAAAGGATCTGTCCATATATTGTTGAAGTTTGGTTATTTAATGAATTCATGATAAACAATAATAAAGCAAGAGACCATGCTGAATTAGGCTATGTGAGATGTGTGGTTTATTTAAACTGCAAAGATAAAGTATAAATTAAATTATTGTGACCGATGTGAAAAGGGAGGAGAACGTATATGTGCGTCATGTTTAGTCGATAAAACACTTCCGCAAAGGATCCTCACTCATAGCTCCTCTGGAAGCCTCCTCACTCCTCGATTCATGCCTCCTCGCGGAGCAATTAGAGAATTGAGAATTGTCCTTCAAGATGGCTGAGCTTGATCGGTTTCCAGGTCATAGGATGGAGGACGGAGGAGTGAGGAAACAAGGAGGGATATTGAGAAGCAAGAAGCTTGCTTTTAAGCTTCACTATTACCACCTAAGTCATACAGATCATCAGGGTGCGATTTGCCGGGAGGGATGCGTGGGATTTCCCCCTTTCTGGTCAATGGATCCCTGCCTCTGCTTAATTATTTTTATCCCCGGTGGGTATTTTTACCCCCCTCAGTGTGATCAGTGATCCTACACTAGTGGTGAGACGGATCAAAAAACGTATCACGGATCCGTGCTTTGATTAAAGTTAATTTTAAAGTTTTAAAATTTTTTTTAGTTTTAGTTTTAAATGCGCTACTTTGGCTGGCTCTCATATAGCTGCCGCTCTGCACGAGTCTGCAGACTTGCTAAATGTCCCGCCCACGGCGCTATCTGATTGGTTACACCTCGTATAATAGCTTATCAACACTTGCGAGACGGTTGCAGGTCTGCGCTGGGCTGTGGAGCTGCTTGTAGAAATGAAGGCAGCATAGCTATAGTATACAGAATAAACATCACAATCTGATTGTCTGTTTCTATGATGACAAGCAGAGCTAGTGTCCAGTCACTGAAAATGGCCGAAGTTATACACACGGACCCGGTGTTTCACTCAACTGAGACTAAAGCAAAGGTTTTTGTCACTCACTCTTGAACATCTGGCGCGAGTGATTTCAATGTTAATTCAATGTAAAGACGCGTTTACGCGCGTCTAGAGGTTCTGCGGCGCAAATGAGGCGAATTAACAAACATAGATAATGCATCCGTCTTTTCTATCATTTCACTGGTCAGCATCGCGATGTAACGTTAACATTATAACTTTAATGTAACAGCAGCAGTAAAACTGTTTCTATTATGGTTTAACTTTGCAATCAATCCCTGGTTCAGGAGAGGCTGATATAAATTAGCCTCTAACGTTACCCTATTAATCTATTGATAATTGCCATAAGTCCTCCTGTTTGCTTTTCCTCATATTAATTATGAAACTCTACAGAAAATTTGAATTTTATTAGAGTAAAGATTGGGGATGGGGATAGGTTTTAGCTAAAATTACCATAGGTCTATTTACATTTACATTTTTATTCATTTAGCTGACGCTTTTATCCACACATTTATATATGTCAGAGGTCGCACACCTCTGGAGCAACTAGGGGTTAAGTGTCTTGCGCAGGAACAAATTGGTGTCTCACAGTGGATTCGAACCCAGGTCTCTCACACCAAAGGCATGTGTCTCATCCACTGCGCCATCACCGCCCGTAAAGTGGTAAATATTAAAATTTATTTGATATTTTACTTAAGGTGTTATTTCATACTTCATAAGATTCGAAAGCACTATAAGTTAGCCTTACAAACATTCCATAAAACATCCGATAAATGTACTTGAAAAGATTGTTTCAGGAAATGACTTCCCTAACCAACAATAAGTATACTTGAAGTTCATTTTATTCAATATAAACTCAAGTATATGTTCAAGTATACTTTATGTAGTAAGTATACTAATATCAATTAAGTAGTAGCACTACTTGGGCCCACTTTTTAGAGTGTAAAAGTATTCTTTTAAGAACTGGTTGTTGTATACTATACGTAAATGACTGCACAATTTTTACTGTAAAAATGTTCATGTTTGCGTACTTACGGTATACTAATTAACCTGGCCCTAGCCAGATGAATGTCGTTCCGCTTAGCTCCATAGCTTCACTCACATCCATCTGGAACCTCTTCCATTGAGAGTGATTTCTCCAACCAACTTTATGGCTTAGCCAATCAGGACGCAGGGCGGGAGTTTCATAGATGTGACGTAGTGGAGAAGCGACCGTGAGACTTGCTGCGTCCCAATTCGCATACTATCCGTCCTAAATAGTATTCGAAAATAGAATTACTACGTCCCAAACTGTAGCATGTTGAAATAAGTGTTTCAAAGATACCCGGATGGTCTACTTTTTCCGGTCAGAATCCGAAGTGTAGATTGATGCACACTCTCTAACGGCTGATATTGCCCACAAACCATTGCGCGTTGGACGAGGATTCGGTTAGACCTACAAACACGAGGAAAAAGTGTTAAAAAAAAACTACAGACACGTAGTCGATACGGAGGACGCGCGAGTCCCCGCGGTTGTGTAGAGAGGTTTAGATAAAGAGCTTTGAGTGATTAATTATCAGTATCTAACCTGACGAAAATTAATTTATTCAATGTTGTCCACATTATATTGCATTTGCAGCAGCATTGTGAACTTTTGTAAAGACACGTTTAGCCATTACATTTTAAATGCATCATTATATTCAAATTGCAAACACAAGGAGAGCATGAAAGTCCCACAACTGGCAGATGAACGTGCTCTCTGAAACGGTAGGATATAAAATTAGATAAAATGGAGGATTTTAACTGTGACGAGATGATTGACAGGGCAGTTTACGGTGACAGGATGCACGCAGCACGCGACAGAGCTGTCCGTTAAAGATGACGTGATAGTATGTCCCAAAGCTTGCCTACTCTTTTGCTACACACTCAAAAGTATGTACTTTTTCCTCACAAAAAGAGTACATACTTTTAGGGCGTAGTATAAGTAAGCGAATTGGGACGCAGCAACTGTTTTGATTCAGACAACAATGGCGGCTCGCATCGAGGAAGCAAGCGTTAACATTGATGCTGCTATTTCATCCGTGTTGTCCAATCTACCTAATATTGTTTCATTAAAAGAACATCAGAGAACGGCTCTGAAGGCTTTTGTTGGTGGAAACGATGTTTTCACCCTTCTCCCGACCGGATTTGGCAAGCATCGCTTTTTCCTGCGTCACTCTCATCAGCGTCACGGGTTGGCTTCGATGTGAGTGGTTGAAATAGCATGTCGATAAAGATGACAGACAAGTGGCTTATCCAATCATATGCAAGGATTTTTGATAAGGCTCAGCCTTCTAAAACGCCATTTCAATGGATCGGTTCCAGATGGATGAGTGGAGCTAGGCGGAGCGAAATTCATCTGGCTAGTGCCAGGTTATATACTAATGGCTCACTTGAATAAACTTCTTTTTTTTGGAAGGGCTGTTTCTTTGAGTTATAACTTGAAGGGGAATGGCTTAATCTGAGATGCCGACCGACCCTTCTCAAATAACATATCAGGAAAAAAAAGATTTACATAATATTACATAAAGATGAAACTAAATGTTACAAATCCTTCAAATTGCACATTGAATAGTTGCCTGCGTGAAGTACTGCACATGTGTGTAACATTTATTTTACTGCTCTTCCATGCATTGCTGCTGATGTGTAGCTAAAAAAAATTTGTGAGCCTTCACCTGCCATGACCAGCTGCAGAGTGCAGAGGTCACTGCCATACTGGTTGTTTGCCATGAAGATAAGCTGCCCTACATCCGTGCTTTTCACTTTGGCAATGTGGAGGGCATGCTGGTCATCATCAGGCATGGTCATCTCTAATGCACCAGGTTTGTTGGCAAGCACCACTCCCCTTCTGGTAAACAATCATACTTAATATTCACAATTTATATTGTAGTTTGAATGTTTGATTTGCATTTATCACTAACCTTTTCCACATGCATGTTGCTTGGACATGATTTAGAGTTATTGTGATGGTGGCAGGCTGGTTCTCAACTACATACACAATATCAGGTTTGTCCAGGATGACTGGAGCCTTGTGTAAATACTGTCCTATGGAAATTATGGAAAAAATAATGAAAACATGATTTCAACAAGTCTACACACATTGCTGATTTCCCAGGCAAAAAGGCTATGACATTGCATTCATTTAAAGTGCAGAGTACCAGAAGGTGCTGTATGAGTCATCAGGAACAGCATGAAAGTATGTCATCAGAAAGTAAAGTATATCTACAAATGTATATACAGTGAGTCCTGCGAACTTGAGCACATTTTTTTTCCTATACCTCTGTCAATGAGCTTAACCAGGTCAGTGGGTTGTGAGGGTTTGCTGAATGCTTTTCCGGTGGCACTAAGGACTCTGAAGGAATAACACACACCCTTAGAAAGTGAGGGAACCGTATAAGAGGTGTCTCTGAGATTGGAGGCAATGGTTGTCCATTGGGTGGAGCCCAGAGCTTGTTGTTGAACAACGTACATGAGTGAAGCAGAATCTGAAATGAATAAAGGACAAGGAAAATTTTATAGGGGACGCAAGGATTAACAGGTATACTTTGACTGAGATGACAAGAAGTCAAGATCTTCAAAAAATACGATTGTTTTAATGGATTTTTGTTTAAATGACTAAAATTACATCTGTGGTTAAGCTCAAGATATCATGTTTTAATCTATGAATAACATACATCAGTAAATGACATCTGTGGTTAAGCTCAAGATATCATGTTTTAATCTATGACATAACATACATCAGATCATCCAAATGACTACAGTATGAAATGTGATTAATTTGTACCCATCTATTTAACTCATTTTTAGTATTTATTTTTCTATGAACTATGTTCTGTGTGTTTTTTTTATGTCTTTGTTGTTTTTTATGTCTGTATATTTATCTCAATGGTTGGTGAGCCAAAGACAATTTTTTCCACCCTGGTGGACAATAAAGATATTATATTAATGCTCCCGTGTGATTTTGTAAATCTTTCACTTGAAAAAGGTGGTTCCTAATTGGCTAAATGGAACAACAGAGATTGTCAGGGACATTAACCCCTTCAGACCTGAATTATGTTTCAAGTTTCTGAAAAATATAAAAGTACATTTTCCCAGCTCATGAGGCTTCTATAAATGAAAACAAATTAAAAAAAAAAAAAAATTATATAATGGCTTTCATTGTGATTTTTTTTTTGTCCATTCCAATGGACATCAGGTCAAAACAGGTGTACTTCCCAAAAATGTACCAACATGAAATAAATAAAAAAAAAAAAAACATAAAAATTTGTTGGTCTATACTTTAAGCTTTTTCTCAAGGTCAAAAAAAAATTCTGCAGTATACAATTTTAACTATAATTTTGAGGTTTTTGTTTTACAGATTGCACATTGTTTGTAACAAATTAAATATCTTCGAATCAATCAATTTGGTCATATTGGAGTCATTTTCTGTGTGCATCTTTCTTTTTTTAGATAAAAAAGTTGAACATTATAACATTACAACTTTAATCATAAGGTTTTTCCTTTATATATTGCACATTTGTTTATTCATAACAAAATAAACCTAGGAATCAATCAATGCATTCTTGTTAGAGTCGTTTCCTGTGTGCATCCTGTGTTTTCTTGTATTTTTACAGTACTGGCAGGACGGTTGCCAGCAAGTCACTGTATTTCGATTTCCAGTAACTAGTGTAATTCACTTTACAGTGCACAAGATCAGTAATGCAAACTACAAAATAGTACTTTACTGTATTTTTACTGTATTTCGTAATTTTGCAATTATATTATATGGAATTGTACTGTAATATATGATACATTACCGCTAAATATTATTGAAATTTTCAAAGTTACTAATAATGATAATTTTATATTATAATAATATCATATAGTTATTTGGAAAATATATAGGAAAACAAAATACTATTGAAGTCAATGGCTACTGTCAGCTGTTTTGTTACCGACATTCTATAAAATACCTATTTTGTGTTCAGCAGAATAAAAACGGTATGAAACTCATACAGGTTTGGAACAACATGAGGGGGAGTAAGTGATGATGACAAATATAATTTGTGGGTGAACTATACCTTTAAAGGAATAGTTCATCCACAAATTTAAATTAGCCCATGATTTAATAACCCTGGCCTCTAGCCATTCTAGGTGTATATGACTAACTTCTCTCAGATGAAAACAATCAGAGTTATATTAAACAATGTCCTTGCCCTTCCAAGCTTCATATTGGCTGTAAATGGTTGTTTCTGTTTTGAAAGTCCATAAAACTGCATCTATCCATGATACAGGTGCATCTATCCTTCATAAAAGTGCATCTATCCATAAAAAAAATATATATTCATATAAAATATGAAAAATATTCATATTTAAGTTGTGCTTTAGATTTAAGTCAACTCCATATGTTCTTTTGGCCAGAAGTTATTTTACTATATAAAGTTTTAAATATGGATATTTTTCCTACATCTTCATCTTCCTCATCACTCCACATAAAGTCAACATCTGAGATATTTTCATCAGCTATATGTTCAAGCACTTCAGAACTGTATATTCTGCACATTAAAAAATTTCAAAAATGTATCGGTACTTTGATATATATATTTTTTTTTATATATATATAAAAGAAATTTCAATCAGCATTACTGAAAATGTGACTTCAGTAACAGGCTTTCAAACCTACTGTCCATTCTAATGGACAGACACATTTAAAAAAATCCTGATTTAAAACGTGCAATTCTACAGTCGATTTTTAACTTTAATTAAAAAGTTCAATCTTTCTATTTTACATACAAACCATGAAATCCTAGCAAAAATATATACAAAATGTATAAATATAACTTAGAAAATGTTGCTTGCTTCTGTGTTTGGAGTGAAGTGCTGACATGCTTCTCTTCAATGTAGTGTTTTTTTATATATAATTACCACATGCAGAGCTTTTCTGGCATTCGATTGGATGACTAACGTCCAATCTCATGGACTGCAGGCTTTAAACTAGGTGAAATGCTCCAGAAGTTAAAAAAAAGGGGGCTGACATGTGATGTCCATTGTAATGGACACAGGGTCTGAATCATAGACTGTAAAAAAAGATGGACGACGCCCCTTCGCTCTTTTCCATCAGAGAGAACTGAAGTGTCTCGATATGACGCTGACATCTTGGAACTTGAGTCTGCGCACTTGCGTGTTTCGGGACCAGCCATGCGCAGTCGTGAGCAGGAAAGCCGCGAAATCAAGGCCGCGCCCTCATTCTCGCTGAATCAAACGCAAGCACACGCCCCGCACTTTTATTAAGTGGCCTCTGTCTGCTTTGTTCTTCTTCAATGATGTCTGCTGATTGCAGAACTTCGTTAAAATAAGGTAAATACAACTACTAACCACTAGGGTTGGGAATCGTGAGAAATTTTCCGGTTCCGATTCCGGTTCCGCCAAACGATTCCGGTTCCGGTTCCGGTTCCCATTCAATTAAAAATATTAGTAAGAGAAAAATCCACAATCCTTTTTGTGTTTATTTCTTATAGTACTTGACAAATTAGTTTAACAGACTGGTAATGTAAACAAACTCAAAATATTATTAAGCAATCTTTGCAAAAAAAAAATAATAATATATATATATATATATATATATATAAAGGAAATTAAAAAATTCTGCATTCTCTATAATAATTTAGACCTCTCCTTTATTGTATCTCCAACAGTGAAGAATACCCTCTCAGAAGGAGTAGAATATGCTTTAACACACATATGTGTGTAGAACAGATTATTTTTTAAAACGGTTTGAATGATTGATTCATTAAGACTTTACCTATTTCATTACTGGATAAATCGGCGCTCTAGCAGTTAATAAACAGAACTGCATGCGTCTTGCGGAAGAACATTGTTGTCGGAGCTACTTCTCTCTGTTTATATCCATGACGAGTCACGCAGGCATATTTGGGCTACTCCGCAGCAGCTGCGATCTGCCGGCCAGTCTAAACAAGAAGTCCGAGTATTAACGCTTTACGTAGTGATTCAAGATAAGACAAAAACACGGTTTGGAAAAAAAAAACATTATGATGCACTCGCTCATTGTATATATTTTGTAAATTCTGAACACAAAAAATATACGGACTGCATCTGTTTTGACCACTACCGTCAATGTTTACGCAAACTATAATCTCACTAATTCTGTAACGGAAATCATTTGAATATGTGAAACAAATAAATATTGAGACTGTGTGATTGTAAAGCAGTTTCATATCGACAACTGCTCTCTCTCTCTCTCTCTCTCTCTCTCTCTCTCTCTCTCAGCGCAAACAGATTTGAATGTAGGCTAGAGAGTGTCAGTGACTCGGCGGTCGGCGCGCGCAGCGTGCGTGTGTCTGTGTGTGACAAATGCAGCGCGTGTGAGAGCAAATCGCAACTTCAGTGGTGAAGTTTTTTTAATTTTGGAATAAGACGGCGTCTTCTACTACCAGCACTTCGCCCACATGATGATATCGCATCGGCATCAGAACCGTTTTCGGAACCGAAACTTAGGAATTTTGCACGGTTCCGGTATTTTTTCAAAAACACAACCGGTTCTGGAAAAGAACCGGTTCTCGGTTCCCAACCCTACTAACCACATAATCAACATTTTTTTTAAAAGTCCGCTGGTGCTTCAGTGACTACCTCGCACAGAGAACCTGTCAATCACAGCTGTCAATCATGATGTCAGAGCACCGTTATTTTATCATCACATAACTAACTAAAAACAAACTTATTTTAAAAACGAACACTTGAAATTACATCAACGTGATAGAAACTACAGCAAATGACAGAAACTATCTTTGGAAAAAGGATATGTGAAGTGTAATTCAATTGTTTAGTTGGTCTCGCGTCCCATTGAATAACATGGGGAGGCGGGGGTTATGAGCTATACTAGGTCCTGTCATGATCCTGGTTCTTCTCTCTTTCTCTGTCTCCCTCTTGTGGCCGTTTGTTCTCTCTCTCTCTCTTTCTTGCATTACGCTCTCAGGATCTCATGATCTCATCTCTTTCAGCTGATGCTACTCTCCCTATTATCTGTGCTGGTCGGCACCAGCTGTTTCCATTCTTCCCCTGATTGTTTCTCCTTCTTCTAGCGCTTTCTGTCCCTAGATCCTTGTCGGATTATTCTATGTTGTGGCTTAATACTGACGCCGGAATTATCTCATTCTACTTTGTCCCGTCCAGTCCTGTCCTGGTGTAAGCTGTAATTCCTACCTGCATATATTACTGTGTGGTTTTGCTCTCTGACTTCAGTGCTGCACTGGAAGCTGTGGTCCTCTGCCTCGCCACCAACCTACTGCTGACCTCACCTCATTCACGGGAGGTTCGGGAGTCGCCGTCCGTGGCATTCGGGGCTCACCAAAAGTGGGGATTTCTGTTCTCATTTAGTGCCGTGTGGCCGTGACTGTTTTCTGCTATTATTCCCCTGAACTTCTGATGATTACTGTTGGTCTGCTTACTATCCATTAAAGACTATCAGTTGACCGCATCCTCGCTGTTG